CCCCAAAAATTTTGCTGTCGAGCGGGAGGGGGGGAGGGTATATAGTACGCATGAAACAGGAAAATCACGAAAAGTCAACCACCACTCCTAGAAAGGCCAGAAAGTAAATACGACCCCCCCCTCCCAACAATGAGCAAGTACGACCCCCTCCCCCCTTTACAACGTCCGTGAAGCGAGAAAAATCAACTATCAAAATAAATTTTTCTCAGCCCAAATACGACCCCTCTCCTGGCGGCCAAATACGTCTCCCTGTCGGGGATTCCCCAACAACGATGTGCCCTGATGGCTAGCCGCGCGACGCGCAGACAGTGTGGACACAGCGCTCGGGTATCACTACCTCCCGGCCCCGTTTCTGTGCACTTTGAGAAAGTGGCATGCTATGGAAGCTGCGTTCCCATTCTCCTAACCAACGGCAAGGCTAGGTCCTGAGGAGGTGAGGGGATAGAACGCCCTTAGTTACAGCTGGCAAGCTTCCCTAAACCTTCAGAACAAACACAAGTAGAAATCTTGATAAAACTTTATTTGTACAAACAAGCAACGGGATTGTTGTCATTAACAAAAATCACTTCTGTGAAATAGGAAATATGAATAAATAGGAGAAAAATCTGCAAAGTAAGAAGATATTGAGAAAGGCACTTCCAATCGCAATTCGGGTGCGCAAAAGGAACATTCCGTTCGGATCACGTACAGCCTTACTCGCGTCGGATGCTGTGGCATGTCAGTAGAGCCGGATTTGACGAGGCGCCAGCCCGTTCAGCACTACTTGTTGAGGCGGGCAAGCGTCACCAATTAGTGGGAAACGGAAAACCCGCGCCAAACCCAGCCACCTGACACACCCTAGTATTCGCACTGAGCAAGACCGTAAGGAGACGGGAATCACAGAAGGCACAGTGAAAGGGAAGCAAAACATGTTTGTGGAGAGCGACAGTGAAACAATGAAAAGAGACAGACAATAAGAGCAATGATAGAAGTTATGGCGGTCACAAAAAGCATCAAAAATACTACTACTTACAACTGAATATGAGTCGTGAATAAAGGCATGAACTAGGCAACGACACGCTCAAAAGCGCTCAAATATACACTGGCAACAACTCGCAGTTTCTTCTGCTCATGATAAGTGAGCGCGTAGCAGGGAATCAGTCTATGGGTCTACAAGCCTAACCGGCAAAACTAGGATTCAATAGATAGTCCCATTCAGACTGAGAGGAATTCTTGAAGAAAAAAAACAGGGAATACCACTCTCAGCAATATTATCATAGAGATCTGAAAATATCAAAGCTTTGAACAATTCTTTGGGACACAACTAGACGAAACTTGTCAAAAATAATATAAATAAAAGTACAAATAAAAATAAGATTGGCAATTCCGAATTACTGCGAAATACTCGTTAATATTGCTGTGCCTCTCGAGGTTTTCAGGTGGAATATTTATTTAGCGGCCTAACGTTTCGACGTGGTCGTCTTCTTCAGAGGCCTAAACGCGTTTCGAGTTAGAGCATGAACACTACCCGACCAAGCGGCCAACCAACCCTAGCAGTCCCGATGGCTAGATAATACGAAAAGGGCACTCACCAGAAACCCACAGTAAAGCCGCTCTACATGCGGATGTTAGTAAGTAGCAGAAGAGACTTACTATAACGTCTCCTTATTTGCATAAAGTTGATGAGACGCACGGCTACTTATAACTCGCAGTACTATATGCCGGAAGTTCGTTTGTTATTGACGAATTCACTGTCTCCGTACTGCATCCTAGGATTTCTAGCGGAAATCCAAAGCGCCTCCAGCACCTTTCTGGCCAAGACTTCCATCTCCTGGGTCGATACTGTGCAGTTAAATCAGTTGTTGCCCCGGCTAAGTCAAGCATGTACCACACAACCGGTCGTGGACCGTACTATACGCTCTACATTACCAGTCGGCCGTGTCCAGTTTATTCACCACACAAAGCTGTTCTCTCCTCTCTTAATAATAAAGACACTTTTCTCCACCCACAAAACACCTTCGACTTTCGAGGCGTACAGGTTACAGCTCCTTATTGAATTCCACTGATCGGTCCTTTCTTACTACCACATTAAAGATCATGGATTAAACGGTACTAATCCGTGACTAGCTCCTGCCGAACGTTCTTAGGACCAGCGCCCATCGAGAGATTCTGCCACGCAACCATGGTTGGGTGCCTGAGTTCAGCGAGATCGTTTATTTCTCCGCCACTGTAAATCACTCTACTGAACTCCGCCCGAACCGGGTAATTGAGGGAAGTTTAGGACCATGTGCACCCACTTAGACTATTCCATCTTCTTCAGGGATCAAATCGCCTTCATTCAACGTAGGCGAGGAGTTTTCTCACTTCAATTCATGTGGACCACTCAGACCGGTCACCATCCTGTAGCAGTACAAGTTTTTAAGCAGGTACGGACGACGAAATGCGAGGAAGATATTTCTTTTCGAGCTGCTCCACGTATCCGTCACCATTCACACCTTCGTCCGGTGGTCCACGAAGAAAATATCGGTCTTCCCATTCCAGGTACGTCCGGTCCATACCATCAACCCGCGCCTTGGCGACTGTGGTGAAGATGATGTCCTAGACCGTAGCGACGTTGTCGGAGCTGCTCGATGTTGGAGGTCATCCAGATCGAGAGTACTGGTCTCCAGGTAGCTATCCATGGGTGACTCCATACTAGAAGTTTCGCAGCTGTTTGGAGGTGACATGAAAAGGTCTTCTCCAGTCAGGCTGCGACTGGAGATGACTTCATATTTTGGTGTACATGAAGGTGATGGGCGAGAGCCAGCTCCTGCTTATAGAGGAACATCTTGGGTATCTTCCGCCCTGGTACTGGTCCTCTGTCTGGGCTGAAAATTTTGCTGATATGTAACTCGGTCAAAATGTCTTTTTTTACTTGGGCCCCCTGTATATGTGGAACCACATGTATGGCATTAACGAATTGAACAATGATGGCGCCGAGGTTACAGCAAGAGAGAAGCTAGTTGGAAGGAGGTATTTAGAGACGTACGGCAACTTCTACTCTCTGGTTCGCGAAGCGATCTTGCTTCGACAGAAGGTTGGCTACCCGACAATCATTAACATAACAAATAACAATGATAATGACCAGGAAGCTTATGCCATTTATACCGGTGCGAGCTATAGGTAGCCGGTATTACACGCGCCTTCCCAAATTTGAACTGACAAGACCCCCTTGTGTTTCAAATGTCGCGTGCGCATATGGAAGAGTACGCGATGTGTTCTTGCTTGTCATCATGACGATATCCACCGTTCCCCCTTCCACGCTCCTTTCCTCATTATCCCTTATGTTCCTGTATCCATAGTCCTGAAGGTAGTCACGATTGTGAAAAGGGCAGGAAGCTGTGTGCCCCATGCCACATGCGGATAACGCTTCTGCACGATATTTCACGAGACGGAAGAGGGGCAGACTCGTGGCTGTGGAAATGCGCACTTTGTGCGACAAAGGACGTCTAGTTATCAAGTAATTGTACATGGACCGGGGAACGGAGCATATCATGGGTCGGGGTCCTTTTTCGGCCTTCTTAGATGCTTTGAAAGGAAATATTCGTTCTTCAAGCATTTTTTTTCGATACATCCTTGGGGGAAACTAATGCTGAGAATTCCTCTTGGTATCTTACAGGGGAAGGATGGTAGGTCGAAGTGGCCATTTGAAATGAAATGTATACCGGCTGAAAGGTCTTCGGACGGGATTACGAAACCGTCTTCCATATCTGCTGCGGACCTCCCAGAAAAGGTTACGGGCTTCTCAGGGGCGGAATACTCGCATTCAGCACAAATTGGCGGTGTAAGGCCAAGGAGACCGTAGTAACGTGGCCGAATGGTTACGTTGTATAACTTTCTGGTGCGTGGTCGAGCTGGATTTGGGTCCTTGATGCGTGTGCTCTTTTGCATTTTTTCGAAAGTGGTCCCTGTGCACTTCAAAGCGATTTTGCATAACTCTTGTGCCTGATAATGTCGTGACGTAATGTTTCTGAAGTGATGGATATATTGTAGACAATTCCATAGAGGCCTTACACCACCAACTCCTACTGAATGCGAGTATTTTGCCGTTAAGAGGCTCCATAACTTTTTCTGGGAGGTCCGCAGCAGATATGGAAGACGGTTTCGTAATCCCCGCCCAAGGACCTTTCAGCCGGTATACATTTCATTTCGAAATGGCCACTTCGACCTACGATTTTCCCTTATTAGCACAAAAATGGAACTTTGAATAATCCTAGATTGAGAGGTTGAGATCTACGGTGTACGAGATATTGCACTTCAACACCCGCTGTTGTGTTCAAGTTTGCGTGCGGGAGAACGAGCAAGTGCCAGCCGAGTTCGGCATATATCCGCCAGAGCGAGCTTCAATTATTTAAGCAGTGCGCGCAAATTTTTAACACGGGCGCCTGTGTCCTTTGATATATTGGAGCGCATTGGCCGATACTCCCTTGAATGAAGTGGTATTTTGAGGGAGCCAAAATTCTTGAAAGAGGACCACTGAGGAAGGGAGGAACGACTTTTCGAAGACTAAACTTATATTTCTCGAAAAATGGTAAAATGCATATAAACGTTGCCTAATATCAGAAACAGCAGCGTTGGGGATTCGATGGGTATTTTCAAAATCAGATGCGAGTTTTTCTGCGACGGTAAGTTCCTTGTAACGCAACCGTTTGCAAGCGTAAGAGCAGTTTCAACAAGGGGGAGATTTCCCCTTTCCAAAGATCGCTCAAATTAATTCCAAAGTTGCCGGGTTTGTGAGCGAATGCGTTGGGGACTTTTCAGGGAAAGCTCGAACTATTGAAAAAAAAACCGTTTTGCGTGTACCTTTCGAGTGGGGGTATCTGAATATCCAAGAACGCTCGTAGAACGGATTCTTCCCTGAAGCAGAAGTAGGCAATAGTTAGTTCAGCGCCCATAGACCTTATCCTTGGATGCGTCATGCATTAGGTTCCCATGGTAGCTGGATGGTGCAACTTATACGTAATGTCTGTCCAGCAGATTTCTTCATAGGGTTCAGAAAGGTCCACGAGCTACCCACGGACTTGTTTAGGTTTCACCGTCTAGTCGTCTTGCCACCCAGTGGGATGGCTCTCACTTCACGGACAGTGGGAGCTGCAGCCTGAGGTTTTCCTTCGCGTTGACGCGAAAGGTTCGCTTTGTCTCTTACAAAATCTTTCGCTGAAGCTTTGATATACCGTATAAGCAGCGAGAGCCCAGCAAAATGTGAGCAAGTACTGTTGATCTGATCATAATAAACAGGGGCACTCCCAAGAGGAATGGAATGGGGCATCCGCTATGTTTCCACCACTGGTTGTTTTCTTCCTAAATTAATGGCTAACCGATCACCACTGGTACACCACGGCAGCGGACCTATTTGGCTCTCCTCGACACCGCTCTCTCCCTACCCCCTCACCGGCCTGATTGCAACGTTATCCACTATACATACCGTGACACTAAAAAAATTCTAAGAATGCCGCTACTTACCATTCATTGCCTCGATTCCAATGCTTCGAAATGTTTCTTTGCGGATCGAATGTTCATAAGCGTTGCAGCAGGGGAAACATTGCCATCAGCCAAAACAACCATAATGAATGTATTCGGAGTGAATGCGTCAATGAAAGCGGCAAAGTGACTATTCCGTACGTGCATATATTCAAACTGTGAGCCCATTTTACTGAAAAATCATCTAAATAATAAAGGTATAAGTGAAGTACAATGAATAGGTCACACCTGCAACTGAGCTTGAACTGCTTTATGATGTTTGAAACCTTCTCGAACCGATGCATATCACGATGCTCCGTCATTTCTGCGTGAGCGATAACAAGAAATGTGGCTCTCTCGAATAACATTACCTAAAATTTCAAAGACATTTCCTTTTCAAAACACGAAAAGTAGCGTAGTAGTAGTAGTTAGTTTTATTGGAACAAAAACTGTATTTCAGAAAATATATGGAGACGAATGTGGGCTCAAGTAAGTTCTTAGCCGTTCAGCTTCCACACAGTTCGCCAACACGTCCCTGTCTGGATGGTTCAGTCAGGTCCTCACCTATAGCCGCTTACACTGTCTCCTCCTACCAACACGTATGGCTGTGGCTAAGAAATGCCAGGAAGGATGGACATATGAGCAGGGAGGAATTCAGACGACTAATTCTCATAGCGTCTGATCGAGCCTGCGCAAATTTGCTGGGACGTGATAATATTCTTTTTGCTCTGGTGTTTATGTTTGCATGTAAGTTGCGCCATGAAATGAGCTAATGAAAACACACATATTTCACTGTAGCAGAAGAAACTTAAAACATGTTTACGTTTCGGAAAGTTACACAATTACTCTCACACAGGCGTGATAGATCTAATCAAAAAGTATAAAAGTCAAAGCCAAAGAATATGGGAATAGAAAATGTTATTATAGGGTTGGCCCATAAGTAATGGTTTTATTTTACTTCCACAAATTTTTATATTAAAAACGAAAATCGTTCCCATTGTGTTCTATGCCGTTCGATAGATAATTTTTCGCTCTATAAGATCGTGTTATTGCATTCCTACGTTTCGTGATTTCTGTCAATTTTTATCCCATTGAAATGGAGTGTCGGGTCGACCCAAAAAAATAGTTTTTGGCAATAACTTTTTGTACTTTATCTCGGCTCTAAAACTACAGGAGAAGTTCAAAACTTGTGATATATATGACCAAGGAAAGATGCTTCTCATGACAGCTCGAAGTTGGTTTAAGCAATGGAGGGATGGTAATTCGGACCTTGTAATAAGCATCGCATCGGGGGCCCTTTCGGGGTGCAACCGCTGCACAGCCTACCCACTGGCTTTCAAAGGCTTAACATCAACTGAAGGTGGTGCTTGATTATTATGAGGAAGCATTCCATGACCTCCAAAGATTCCCACCCTTGGTATCAATCTCCATGAAGAGGTAATTCAGTAAGCTTTCAGTTGTACTCAGTTAGGCATTAAGGACGAGCTTGTCTGTTAAGTTGGAGTCGAAATCTTTGAGTAGCCTGAACCTTCACAGGCATTTTTAAGGAATTCTCGGCCATATACTTAACAAACAGGCCTATGCTGTTTCAGCTTCTTAATTAAAACTAAAAAGAGACGTTTGTCAAAAATGCCCAATTTCGTCGACCTGACACCCCATTTTTATTAGGGAAACAGAAACTTCAGGAAAACTAAGAGGAATACTGTGTAGGGCAAGGAAGTTGCATCTGGAAAATAGTAGTGAAACTTCGATTCGGAAACCATGCATTCTGTTATGCAGCAATATTTTTGAGTTAGGAAAGAACACCATTACATATGGGCGCAACCGATACTTTAATGTGTATGTTGAGATCGTACCTCATCTGCATCCAGTATAGCAGCAAACTGCTTCAACTTTTGCTCCATTATACTTACATTTGGTATGAGTTTGTATACGATTGCGGACCAAGCCTGAAATTTTCTACAAATAGAATATATAAGCAATAAGTACGCCCTAGCTTCGAAGATGGTTCACACCCCATTCAGGTTCAACAACCTCCGCAGTGTACGCATTTAACTTCAAACTAAGGAGCAGGATGATTGCTTGGTAAGTCAGGTTGCAGGTTCGTCTTCGATGATTACCCTTCTATGTTAGAAAAGAACTTACTTTATACAGAGTCCTCATCCCAGATTACTACTGTCGGTAAGCATTGACAGAGAGCATGGTGCCGGTCACTGGACAGCAGCCATTTCGGTAAATCGTAAAACGAGCGAAGCACGATCCTCAAATGTCTATAAAAACGATATAACCACCGTCAACACAGGAGTGTTTGCAATAAAAATCGACGCTTGATCTCCGGTGATCACTTTTCAATGAGATCCATCTTATTGGATGAGGCAGAAAAACGCTGAACATGAGCCTATATTCCTACAATTAGCAGACAAATCGTTTTATAGTCTTGTTAAGTCATAAATGATACCGGTTAACGCTACATAGAAAGCGAAACTGAAATTCTTCAGTCCGCATGGAAAGGTTTATATCCGCTTTGAGAAAAAACTGTTCACTACCAAAACATTCCACACTGCAAACGTTTGCGAACGATATCAGCCTGCATCGCCTGTTGCATCCTATGCGCCAGGGGGGACTCCAACGGGCCCGTCCTCTCTCAGCGCGCGTTGTACAAATCGACCCAGTGTTTAGCCTGCTTCGTAAGCATTGCCTAGTCGCGAAGGCGTATGCTGAAGCAGGAGGACCGCGCAGAGACCGAAGAGTAGGTCACGGAGAGCTGGTGTTTCTCGCTCTCTTTCGCTACTGTTCCTTGAGACATCCCCGTCTGTTTCGCTCGTCCTGCTCAGCTCTGGTGGCTACAGTGTTCAGCTCTTGTTTGCCCTTCCCGACTCAGGTACGCCATAGCTAGAGCATTCAGAAGTGTTTGTTCCATTGAGCGAGTATGGGGCATCAGAAATCAATCCATTCCTCATCAACATCGTCTTCTTTAGATTCAGCTGCACCGGTTTCTTTCACACGCGCAGCCGAAATCAACCAGCATTCGCTTCCTTGCTTGATGTTTGATCTTTTCAGAACGATTATTGTCAGTAAAGTAAAATGTTGTAGTTAATGCCGGTGACGTCTACTTCCACTCCCATGTCCTCCCATTTCAGTTGACGCATACTTGCCCGAGAGGCGCTGAAGTTTCCGGGCAAAATGGTGGCACCCTGCTGAACCGCGGCCTTTTTCAAGTCAGTAGTGATCCCTCGTAACTAGGCAAAATACCGCTCGTGAAGTTATTGCAGGGCTCAAGAAGGAAGCTTATATCCAGTGCCATGATAGGCTTTGAATGACCTACCAGCGATACTTTTCTTCCAAAGCTGTATCCCATTGCTGAGTGCGGTAAAGGTGGAAATTTGTGCTTTTACTCAAAAAAGAACAGAAGCTTACTCACCATTAGCGAATCGACACATGGTGGCAAAGCTTTGGCAAAGTTGAAGCAAGAGAGAAGGATGGAAATTCGAAGCGAAAAATCAAAGTAAATAAATTCCTACCTGGGCATTCGGTGAGTTATGCAGTAGAGCTTCAAGACAGGATTGATAATAACCCAGATCCTTTTCAAATTCTCTACTCTCAACGTCAAAAACGTAATATTACACCTGAAGACACCTTCACTGATATTCGCAACACCAAAAATTAAACGACAGGCAAGACTGGTATACCCTATAATTACTCACCTGAACATTTTTGAAAATCTGATCTTTTTGTGAAGACAGATAGTTGTTCATGAAAGTCTCCTGACCACCACAATCCCACAAGTGTAAAACAAGGTTTCCGAGGAAACTGAAAGTATGACAATCTGCGTAAGAGGACTTCTATGAGACCCAGTGAGGGCAGCACAGAGGGGACTTGCAGTTTCGACGGTCTTTTCCTGTTATGAGTTACATTCTTGTTCGCCGCAGATGATGGACATATCAACGGGTCGTAAGTTTGTCAGCGGTTCGAAGCCGTTCGTTACAGAGCTTTTTCCGTTTTCTATCGGCAAGCTAAAAACTGGCAATATATTGCGTCCGAGTCTTTTCCCACCAGTTGTTGTCGTCTACACGCTTCAACGACTGGTAGAGAACAGGCTGGCGATGCGCCAAACGCGTCCTCAATGACACGTCACCATCAATCCCATGCTAGACAAGAATGCTTCTGCAGCATAGTGGCTTCGGTATGTTCAACTTCGCTGTCCACAAAAGAGCAATCATGGCTCTCACCATTCAACCATATTGATATAAGCCAACACCCGCGAACATAAATTGGAAAAATTACCGAACATGCGCGTGTTCAACTTCCATTGTCGGTCCCAGTCTAGACGTATCACGAGCAATGTAGTTCGCAAAAATAATACGAACGCGATAGCTCGTTTTACCTGAAACCTTTTGCCCCAATTAAAGATGCACTTTCCTCTTTGGCGACATCTTCAGCGAAGAACCGCATAAAATAAATCTGTAATAAGATTCTCTACATAACTAGCTTGACAGTTCAGGCAAGGTATTAAACAGATGTTTGATGCGATTACTATACCATGCTAAAAACAAATACATGAAACGCTAGACACGAAGGCTAGAGCAGTTGTTATGCCAAGTACACGAAGCCCGGCATCTCGAAATTCAGTTATTCGGAAAATGCGAAACAAAACATAATGAGTGAACGGCGATTCATAGAAGTGTGTCTCGAAGAAATGTATATCAAAAACGCGAGCCTTAATTACAATAGGGCCGTGTTGCATAGTTCCCAGCCAAAGCGCATGTTCTACGAGTTGTAGCAAATGGTGCTCTATTCTTAAGAAAACATCATTTGCAACGTTTTGAGTCTAAATGACAATCACCTTCAAGCATCGAGAGTAAACTGAAGGCTTAGCAAACGAATTTCCACACTCGTATAATTTGTAATATCTTTATATTTACTTAAAAATCCTACGCTAGCTAGCTGTCAAATTACGTACACGAAGCGAGTACGTCTTCACGCCTAATTTTCGAAGATTGGCCGCTGACAACAATTACAGCGCACTTTGTCAACCAGATTTGTTCTCACTGCGAGGTCCAGGTATTCTTTCGTGGCAGCCCAGTAGTCGAAGGGAGAAGGTAAAGAAGGAGGGAACAGAGAAGGAATTTGGATTCTTTTTTCCTCTACCTTCTCCATTCGAACTACTGGCTGCCACGAAAGAATACCTGGAGGGAAAGAAGGAAGGAGGAAGAAAAAGGAAAGAGAAGCTTCCGCAATTTTTCAATGTGGTGAGAACATGGCGTTGTCGCTTTTCAAAAGACGCACGCGAAAGCTCCTGAAATAGCAGCAGCTTAGTTGCTGTTGATGCTCAGTGTGTCAAGGGGGCGCCGTTTGGCTCGGCGCGATCCCATTTTCCATCAACTGTCGTTGGCTTTCTTCAAGAGTCGGACAAGAGTGGGTTGACGCCATGTCAAACCCACTCTCCTGACATGCCAGCATCCGCATTGAACAAGATGTATTCGGTACATACAGAAGCGCCAAACTCTTTCTCATGGCGAGCGGTCGCTCTTCTCCAGAGTGCTTAGACAAGATCAAGGTCTCCCGGCCAGCAAAAGAAGATTTCTTTCTCTTAACACACGATACCTATGTGAAATCTGCTGTAGTGTAAGCCGATGAACTGTTGCGACTAAGTCCTACTCGTTTGGTGTGGATTATAGAGTTGTAGGAGTGAGGTAGTACCGAAGAAGACAGAGGATAAGAAAGACGAGATCGCATTGATTGGGCTCTTATAAAGGATGCTGTTTCTCTCAAGAACTCGTGAAATCTTCAGCAACTTCTGAAAGGCAACATGAGCATGAGCAGAAGCAGAAGCAAGTGCGAGGAGTAATCTTTGCCCCGAGCACAGCTGTTTAGAGGCAAAAGAGACCTGCTGGAAGATTTCTCACTACCGTAGAGGGCGGGTGTGTTGGACAGAGAAAGTTGCTTTGATTCCGAGTCCGATAACGGCTCCTTAATCGCTACATCCCATCAGCAGCAGAAAACTTTTTCCGGTTTAGCTAAGAAATGCTCTATGAAGTCGAATAAGGTCTCAACTAATACTTACAAATAAACTTAAACACTGGAAGCCATAGACCACATATACACATGGACTGCCAATACAAGAGTCACACGGAAGCAATTCTATGTAGGAACCAAATACGTGAAGGTCAGCAGTTATACGAATCAAATGAATGCGGCAGTTTAGGAATGGTAAGAATAAGAATGCCACCGATAAAACACGCACGCGTTCCATGCCTGTTCTATCAGCCGAAGGAGCTCGTTATCGGAGAAACAGATGCCCTTGACAGTTCTTGATTTCGTTTATTGCTTGTAAAAAATTGAGGTCAAAAATTACATTTACAAAGCCAAGGATGAGATGAAGTGAACGCCTACAGAACCTCCACAGTTTCTGCATCAGCAAGAGCGCGTTATGCGTCGCATTTCCAACCAGCTTCTAAATAGTAACTCCCTCCCCTATGTTTTCCCGCGGAGTCGTGACTATTACTAGGTATGTGACACTCCATCCAGAGTAAGTCCGCGATCCCGCTGCTACGTCGTGGCCAAGATAGGCGGTGAAGCAGCAAGGATGGTGTGCCATCCCATAGCCACGAACCGCAATAATCTCGTCAGTGCTTCGCACTTTCGATAGGTTGCACGATATAAACCCTGCCAGCGCTATTTACCTTTTTGAATTCAGGTCACATTTCGAAAATTTTCCCTAGCGGTGATTCAATCACGACACGTCATACGGTGGGCACTCTCAGCGAGGGGGAGGGGAGGGTTCGTATTCGAACCGCTGAATGGAGGAGAGGGTCGTAGGGGTCTCTGAAAAAATGATGTTGACTTTCCTCGTTCCGACCCTTTTCTGGTTGTATTTCTCCCACCCCCTTGGTCGACAGTAGGTTTTTTGCGACGATCTGGACAATCTCCCCGGTTAGGTAGCCAATGCAAAATGGGGATGGGGAAAGGGCCCTGCTAGAGGAGCAAGCTTCCGGGGGATCACATTTCACAAAAATTTCTACGGGTGCTACCTTCCTTGGCGGGATGGCCTAAGACGGCGAGCCGTCTTAGGCCATCCCGCCAAGGAAGGTAGCACCCGTAGAAAATATAGAGGATGTGATATTCCTGTTCAAGGTGTTAAATACCCCGGGGAACGAAACTCATTGTCAGAAAGTTTAAACGAACGGGAAAATCTGTCAGAATCGGCTCCGAACTTCAGAAAACAACTATCAAAGAAAGATTCTGCCACGCTGCTTGGCAGAATCGTCAAGGACACGCTGTTATATGGAATCTCACGGTTAGAGCACAGTGCTATGATCACGCATAAAGCCACCACTTTACACTAGAAGTAACGCAACAACATTTTTTTCCACAATAAGTATTATACTACCCAACCATTGTTTAATGTGAGTAACAATCAATACGTAACTATTTAGAATTACAAAACAAAGATGAGTGTATGTAGAACAGGTTGCGAATTTCTTGAATTTAGAGAAAGGAAGAAAGTCTGATAACCACACCTAAACATAACATAATGTTCCAACAACAATTTCGAAGTAACTCATGCGTTACTAAAAAAAGGATACAGGGTACCAAAAATGGCACCTATGAAATAAACCGGTACAACCACAAGTTTATATACATGATGACGTCAAACCGTAATCATCGTGGAATGGTATTGGGAAGTTAATTACATCAACAAGGAATGAAATTTTGAAAGTAATTACATTGGACCGGTCTCGATAAGTGCGTGAAGCTTGTTTTTATGAAAATAAAAAGCAAGGAAGGCAATGAAAGTTATTGGTCTCCGAAAAATCCACGCCAACCCTGCATTCATACCACCATTCCAATTTCTTTTTTGACGTCTTTCAATGCTTATTACTAAAATATATCAGGCAAAACTAGCACAATGACCCGTGCAGCCGAGAACTTCACGATAAGTCATATCGATTATTCAACCTATACCCTCATCAACATAAAGATCTAGGATTCTTATATTATCGCTCATGCTTAAATAGAGTTTGAGAGAAAATATCAGGCAAATACTATCAAAATGGACCATGAATCTATGGACTGATCAACATCATTATTATGAAGGAGTACAAAGACATACAAAGAGTCCGAGCACAACTACAAATTTTACTTCTGAACGCGTATATCTTATAATTTGACAGCTATGACTAAAGTAACTGGGGCTAAAATCAACAAGATCGCGAAACATGACTGTTCTGATTGTATAGCTGTCAAATTGATAAGA